AGAGAGAGAGAGAGAGAGAGAGAGAGAGAGAGAGAGAGAGAGAGAGAGAAAGAGAGAGAGAGAAAGACAGAGAGGGAATTACCGTCCCCTTGGTCGAAGCACAAGGTCCGAGGCAGGAACGCGCTCCCCAAGTACCTACCGGTACTCTCCAGTACCGTAACACGATCATTTTTCAATCATACCTACGGTCGACCTTTTCGTGGGAAAATTCCCTATCATTAAGTCTCATATCACAGAAACACTCCCTTATCAGGTACCATCTTCCCATCACCGAGATTTTTTTTTGTTTTTCCCCGATGGAGAGAGTAGAATGGAATATTTCAGGTGCCTATCTATTTATCTATTTATCGATTTATCGATTTATCTATTTACCTTATCTATTTATCTATTTATCTATTTATCTATTTATCTATTTATCTATTTATCTATTTATCTATTTATCTATTTATCTATTTATCTATTTATCTATTTATCTACCTCTCTACCTCTCTACCTACCTACCTACCTCTCTACCTATCTATCTATCTACCTCTCTACCTCTCTACCCACCTACCTACCTACGTCCTTCCTTCCTAACCTCTACGTAATAAAAAAAAAAAATCACGCGAAAAAAAAGTGGATCGTCAGCTTGGAGAAATTGGCCCGTATTACTTTACTTTACATAATACCCCGTAAAGAAGGACGAGGTAGAAGGTAGGTAGGAGCCGCAACCCTCTTTTTTTTTGCCTGCCTGCCTGCCTGCCTGCCTGCCTTTCTCTCTCTTTCTCTCTCTGATGACTTGCTTTTCCGACCAGGGAGGGCATGGCGGGGGGGAGGGGGACGATTAGTGGAAGCTGCAGAAGTAGAAGCAGAAGCAGAAGCAGGAGTAGGAGTAGGAGTAGGAGTTGGAGCAGGAGCAGGAGCAGGAGTAGAAATCACCGCTTTCGAAAATAGAATCAAAAATTGGGTACCCATTTGCCTCTCTTTTTCTGACTTGGTACTCCGACCAGGGGGGTGCGATTACCGGTACCTACTCTTGATGCTGCGGGGGTTTTTTTTCCCGTCTCTTCTTGAATTCTTTCTTTCTCTTTTTCACTGCTGCATATCGATACGTACATAGTGTCCAACATCCAACATCCCTACAACCCCACAACCTCTCCCATCTATCCCCCTCGTCCGTATCTTCACTCTCGTCTACGAGCGGCTCCACGTCTCGAACATTCCATCCCATCCCCATCTCCTGTAAGCAGACGCCTAGTGTATATCCTATGCAAGTAAAAGGGGGTATCGTGAAAGTAGGTAATACAGCACAGTACCAAACAAAAGAAAGAAAAGGAAAAGATTGGCTTTCAAAGATAACAACATACCCCTTCGGCAGCCCCTTCTCCTCCCCTCCCAAGATAGCTCAGGTCGGCTTGACGCCTACCCTTCTCATCACTCCTGTACCCCCGAACAATGATTACCCCAACGCCAATTCCATGCGCCACCTGTCCCGAACTCCAATAGTCCCCGAACCGACCAAAATCCCTTAAAACGTAAATGCAGACAAGTGAAGGTGGCGTTCTAGTGATTGGTGGGTGTGTGTGAGGGACCGCGTCGTAAAATATACTCGTACAGTCAAATCTCCCTGCCCCTACTCGAAGCCTGAAGGTTAGTTTACTGCTCCAGCCCCAACTGTTCCCGCGGCGCTCCATCAAGCTCAATCCCGCTATCCCTATCATCCTTCCCAACCTTACCCCACGGCGGACTCGCCCTCCCACTCTCCTTCGCCTTCTTACGTGCCTCTCTCAAAAGGCTCGCACCGATATCACTCATCCCCTCATTATCCGCTTCCTCTGCATCTCGCCCCCCATTAGCACCGTCGATTTCATCAGGCGCAAGCACACGGCCGCCAAGCTCAACGTCGCAGACCCGCACGCGATACTCGAGGGCTTTGCGGCCTTCGCGTATAAGTTCTTCTGTCCAGCCTAGACAGCGCTTGAGACTCTGGTTCATTTTCTGAGAGTCGACGAGCAGCTGCTGGTGTTTGGTGAGGTCGAGCCGCAGGCGCTTCTCATCGCGTTTGCGATGCCGGAAATCGCTCTCTTCCATCCCGCTCGGGCTAAGCGAGCCTTCATCTGACGTCTCTCCTTCCTCTTCTTCGTCCTCCTCTCCCTCAACGGAATCTTCTTCGCTCAATTCTGATAAGTCGAAACCTTCACCAACGCCTCCGACAGTGACGCTACCGGAGGAGGTCTGTATAGATTCTGTAGCTGCGACCGAGAAACGTCCAGAGCGACTCAGTCGGCGGTATCGTCTCAGTTCCGTGGTCTGTTTCCTCATTTCCCGCTCGAGTGTGCGGTTGATAGCCTCTAGCGATGAGTTCGTGATTTGCAAATCCAGTACCTTACGTTCTCGTCGAGCATTGGCTGCCAGCTCATTGAGTTCAGCTATAGATTGACCGGTCTTGATTGGGCTCCGGATATCAGCGGCCGGATCACTCACACCCAATTCTTCAAGGACTTCTTCCCGCGTGGTTAAGGGCACGGATGTCGTGGTGAGATTGAGAGGTGATCCGGGGGCTGAAGAGTCGTGTGAGGAGATAGAGGCTTTCCGCATAGGGGGAGGATGTCTTCCATCTGCTGAGCTCCCACTGGCTGACCGACTGTGGCTTAACCTTTGTGCTGCTTCAATGCTGGCCCTGCGTTTCGATACAATGTTGGTAGCTGGTTGTCCCCGTCCTGCGTGCGGTGGCCGGGGTATTACTGGCGATGGTAAAGTAGGTATGTTTCTAGTAGAGGAAAGGGAGGGATTTTGGTTGAGTTTAGAAGGAGACGACGGTCGTTGAGAAGGGGATAGTGGACTGAGGTCCACAGCTGCTAGTCTGGGTGATGCTGTCCGAGAGGCAGAAGACAAAACCGAGCTCGGCCTCGGGGGTGGAAAATAGGAGGATAGTGTCGACTGCATGTCCGGGGCGCCGTTGGCATGAAAGAACTTTGGCTGACTCCGTTCATCCCCCACTGTTGATCCCGACGCAGATGCACTGGAACTCTGTGGTTGATTCGGGATAATATCCCCATTCGCGTAAAGGAAGGTCGAGGATTTCTTGGGCGGCATTGGCGGTCTAGGTGGATGTGCTGCTGCTGTCTTTGCCTCGCTGGCAAAGAAGAACTTGGAATCCCCAAGTCCATTCTGTGCATTCTGTGCTGGTAGATTCGAATGCCCAACACCTGATACCGCGGGACTAAACGAGACCGCAAGGCGTTTGGGGACATCTTTCTCGACTCCTGTAACTCCCAGCCCGGATCCATACAGAAGAGGGGTCTCGGTACCTCGTATTGTATCATTGGGACCTGGCGTAGGAGTTCCCACCGGCGTTGTAGTCTTGGGGCTTTCTGCCCGCACCCGGCGGGGTCCTGATCTGGGAGTGACATGGTGGCTCAAGAACGTCGAGACGGGCGTCGGTATATCCTCCTTCTCCCCCGGCGTAGTGCTGTTGGGACGGGCAGGTCGGCGTGTCGACGGGGTCGCAAGAACCGGCGGACCTGGGCCAGCAATCTTGGGCGTCAGGGGAATTCGATTGGCGGGTCTGGCGTGGGCGGCGAGCGTGGGCTTGAGGGGTCTGGCGGCATTCTTGTTGTCGTGGGTGGGCATATTCAGATTCGGATTCTTGCCTTTCAACGGTGGCACTCGCATTATGTTGGCATGGCTCGAGACATCGACGAGGGCTGCTCTCGAGAGACGTCGGAATGGGGTGGTATCTTTGGTATTATGATTGATGGTGGTAGTGGCGGTGGTGGTATTGGAATTGGTATTGGGATTGGGATTATTAGAGTTGAGATGGATGGGCTTGGTGTTGTCCTCCGTACTGTTCCTGGAGGTCGACTTGACGCCCGCTAAAATCGGGCGCATGGTCTGGCCTGGCCTGGCCTGGCCTGGAGGCTGGCACAGCACAAGCACAGCACAACAGCCGTTTAAGCCCTATGTAGAACACGGCGAGGCACAGCTTTCAGGTTGCACTGAGGCGGAATTATGGAATTATAGAATAGAACTGCAGTGGGAATCCGGAACGGAATTGAAATGGGGGAACATGGAGAGAGGATGAAGAAGATGAAGAAGATGAAGGCGGGGCGGAGAGAAGGACGGCCGGAGATGGATTGATAGACATCAACTGTACATTCACGAAGATAATATAACGCAATCGCCTTTGTTTGTTTACCTTACTTACGTGTCGCCGTCTACAACAAATCATAACAATCACATATAAGAGGACGGCTGTAATGCTTACTTTCTATTACTTTCATGCGAGACGCACAAGGGATACCCGGACCCAGTGGATCCAGTACTCATTTACTTACTAATCATTGGCTCCCCGTCCGGAAATACTTTGATCCCTCCCATGCAGCCCCTCCTCCTCCTCGATAACCATAACCATAACTATATCATCCACTCCTATCCTTTCCGTATCACATCACATCGCATCCCACCCCGACCATGATCCTGGGATTTTCCATCCTCGTCGCCTCCATTTCCTTCCTCTGCTATAGACATCCGCCGTCGACATGGTCCTTTCTCTCCTGGCTTCAGTGCCGGTCCATCCAAGATGTCGCAAAGAAACAGCAAAACGGCGCTGCCCCTCCAACGTTGGAGATCGCGACAGAAGAGAAGCCACCAGCTGAGCGGGAGGAAGGCCGACCAGCGAAGCAGCAAATACAAATAGAGGATATGTCAGAAAAACCACGCGTTCCAACACTGGCCGCCGAGGCACCATCGCCCAGCAAGGTCGCAAAAGCAAAGCAAGAACAAGACCGCAAAGCCATGCCGCCACCCCCCTTCCGTAGGGAACCCGCCCCTCCATCACCATCAACACCCTCTCAACCCCTCCGCAACCCCTCAATCCCGAAATTTGCCCTCGGATCATCATCCGCGTCACCAGATGAAGACGAAGACGAAGACGAAGACGAAGAGCCCTCCATACCCTCCTTCCCCGCTCTAAACTCCGCCCAACGAGCCTCAGGCGGTATCCGGGGCCCTCCACGACTACAGTCCCAACCAGGATCAGGACTAATGGCACCGCCCCCACGCTCTTCTCTCCCGAATCGCGGGCCTCCAAACCCAAATTCTTTATCCTCTTCGTCCTCTACCCTCGCACCACCCCCCACGCACGCCGCACCCCCCTCCAAACCGCGCAAAAAGGTCCTCCTAACGCCCGGCCACTCCCCTCTAGACTGGGCGCGCCTAAGCTCCTCACCCTCGTCCAACCTCCGTGGCCTCCCTCCCAACACGCCCTACCTCAAAGTACCGCCCTCGCTCCTGAAACAGTACACCGGGCGCAAAGGGAAAGACGCCTGGACCGTGCTGGGCGGCAAGGTGTACAATATGACACCGTACATGCCGTACCATCCCGGTGGCGAGCCCGAGCTGATGAAAGCGGCGGGTAGGGACGGTACGCGCTTGTTTGGTGAGGTGCATCCATGGGTTAATTGGGAGGGGATGCTGGAGGGGTGTTTGGTCGGGGTGGCGGTTGACGAGGGGGACGTGAGGGCTACGAGCACGTTGGATGAGATGGATTGAGGAGTCTTCGAGAAGATGGAATGGGGGGGGGGGAGGGGGTCACAGCGACAACGGGGCTTCTACATATGGGGAGCGTGAATTGTAAAGTTAGTGGCGTTCAGGTGCAGCTGGAAGGACTGGGATGAGACTGGAACTCTTGGAGTACAAAATAGAGATGCTAAGCGAGAGCTACGCGAAAGCAGACAAAATGTAAACACGAGATACCCCTTTTCCGAAATCGCTTATCATTCATTCAGTTTACCAGCTCGAGGTAAGTAGATAGATAAGTGACCTTTGGCGAAATTTGGGAGTGTTATGCGAATCTACTGTATCTGGGGAAAAATGTAACAAATACTGCTCTCCAACCAAGCCTCCAAGACGGTCCTGTACGCCACGTCCCAGAAAAACTCCCGCTCCCAAACACCGCACCTATCCCAACCCAAGCCCAAGCCCAAGCTCAAACCTCAATCAAGCCTTCTTCTTCTTAAAACGGAACTTCAGCCCATCGTCACTGCTCCCATCGTCACTCTGCTCCTCCGGCTCGGGCTGCTTCCGAATCGCAGCCACCTTCGCCTTCTTCGCTAGCGCCGGCTTTGTCAACGTCGTAGCGGCTACTCTCTTCTGGCTTGTTGCCGCCGGCAAGTCCTGCGATTTACTCGTCTTGCCCGCCAATATCTGCTGCTGGTGCGCCCGTGTAGCCCTGCCCTTGGCTACCGGTGCCACAACTTCGTCCTCTGATTCCGAGATGACCTCGGCCCCTGCTGCTGCTTGGTCAGAATCCTCGGGCTCACTCGCCAAGATCTTTCTCGAAGCTTTTACAGCGGCTTCCTGCGGTCTCCGCTGCGACTCCACCTGGGTCATATCCTGCGTTTCCTTGCCCTTGCCCTTCTTCTTACGCTGCATCTCATTCTCCCAATATCCATCTCCGAGGCCAAAGTCTTTCGTCTTAACCACCTCGAGCGGCACAATAACCTTGTCGAACCCCCTCGCGGAATCATCACCTGGTCGACGACGAAACTTCTTGAAGTTCTTCAGGTGAGTCCACCTATTCTCCCAGTTCTCGCTCTCGTCTGCCCGCACAGTTCTCTTGGGTGCTGGCTTGGTTCGGAGAGGCATCTCTCCGAACAGAGTGAGATTTTGTACGTTCTTGATGTCAATATTGGAGTCCTGCGGCTGTATAGATTCTCGCTCAGCCTTTGCCTCGGCCTCGGCCAACTCCCTTTTTTGACGTGCCACTTCTATAATGTCGACTTTTTCCTCTTTCTTGATCCTTTTCGATTTTCCCTTGGTGGCTGGTTCTTTCTTGGCGACCGGACTTGGCGTAGCTGCCTTTGGCGGGGGAGGAGCAGGCGGCGGTGTTAGCTCTCCTTTGCGTCGACGATCAGCCTCAGTTGCAAGTCGGCGCCTCTTAAGAGCGGCTGCAACTGGAGCAATCTCCTCCTCCTCCTCCTCCTCTTCTAATACCTGGCTAACACGCCTCTTCTGACTCGTCCTAACTTCTGGCTCCGGGGCTTGTGAGATTTCCTGGTCAGGATTTTGAGAAACGAATAGACTTTGGGAATACACAATTTCTTCGGGTAGAGGCTCATTGACAGGTATCGGTTCAGGATCTGGCTCAACCATACTCGAGCTGATGGGACCTGTAAAATCATCCTCAAACCCATTGAACTTGGCTCTACCTGCGCGTCGTCTACCTCGCTTAGGAGGTTCAGGCGGTGCCGTTTCTACCGGTGTGGGTGCTGGCGCCGAGTTTTGGAGAGTTTGAGGGCTCCCAACAGAGGCTGTAGATAATTAGTCAGGAAACCGGCAGTACTAGAAGTACTACATACCAGCCGTAGGGGGAGATGCTGTAACGCCTGATGGTTCATCTAAAAGGGGCCTTCTGAGGACGCTTGCATCCTTTCCGAGAATGGCATCTAGGAAGTCGCTTTGCTCAATGAGTCGGTGATCTAGGCGCAAGGAAACCTGTTGACCGAAATCCGCGTACCATTCCGGGTTGTCGCCCTTCTTGGCATTGAATCTGACGACGACAACCCCTTTGCCTTCACTTCCGTCCTCAAACTCACCCAGCCCCTTCTCCCCTGCTACCTGCTTGACATATTTCACGAACTCGTCAACAGTTGTTTCGTGTGGGATAGCCTGTCGTAGTAATGCTTTGCCACGACCTTCGGTGATAGGGGCGAGGAGCTGGTCAAATTGCTGTTTGTTATAGAAAACAAATGTATACCCCTCAAACATATCTTTACGAGCGGGATCTGGAGCATATGCCTCAGCAGATTGCTGTGTTTGTTCTGCCCCTCTCGCAGGCAGGTAATTCAGAGGGTCAGGAAGGTTATTGTCGAAATCTTCCTCTAAGGGGGCAGGTCCATCTGGGGTGCTCGAAGTGGCAGCAGCTACGAGAGCTTGCAAAAAAGAATCGTTGTGCACAATGTATTTCCCATTGACCAAAGCCTGTAGACCCTTGGATGTGTTTCGCTTCTTCGCAACCACATGAGTTACATAGCCGCGTTCGAAATGGTCAAGTACCCGGATATCGAGAGGGGCAAGACGCTCGCGGAGGGAGGGGTAGGGAATAGTCTTCAGCTCGGCAGTCGAGAAGGAAAACGTAAATGTGAACGGTACCCAGGTAAGCCTGCAGAAAGTCAGAAAAAAGGAAACGCTTGCCATGGATAGTAGCTACCGAAAAGCCACCTCAAATCTGCCAAGCTTGAGCACATTCTCATCGCGGTCCAGGACAACTGTTTTGGCGCGAATTTGCTCTCCATTAAGCAACGTACCAATCTTCGTTCCCTTCTCAACACCGTTCTCGATTGCTCCACATCCTTCGATCAACGTCAATTTACTTCGAAAGTCGCCACGAGCCTAGCATCTATAAGCAGGAGCTTGGCTGCAGAGGGAGGGGCTCTTACGCAGTCGATGGGTTGAATAGGATCAACCTTTACCAGCAAATGCTGCCTCGATATAGTCTTATTGCCCAGCGCAAATTCGGCATGATCTGTTGCATCTGCGACTATTAGCATGCTATATGTCTTGATGGGAAAAGGCGTTAGGATACCCTTTGATTTAGTGCGTCCAAACATGAAGCTCTTCCCAGGCCGGAGCCATAGCCGTCTGCCTGCGATATGGTCAGCGAGATTAGACAGCTGTGTAGAAGGAGGCAACAGACCTCCAAAGACATCTCCATCGCAGTCAAGAATCCACATGTCTGGGATGGCGATGTATCGATTGCGAGCATTGATAGTTTCTGATGTTGTGGTTTATTGTGGTTGCACCAGATGAATGGTCATCCGCGTGCTGTTGTTTCGCGGTCCGCGGTCGCGTTTAAATTCACGTGCATTTGCTATTTAAGCGTTACCTACTTGGCATCCATGCTAGCCCTCGACTGCCAGCCTTATTCCAGCTGCATAGGTACTTCATCACTCTTCGATCAACAAGTTGGGCCCGAGGCTGTATAGTATAGCCAGCTACAGACGCCTATCAGTAACCCTACAGCTGCTATTCTTTTGCATTATCTCTAATTCAAGCTAACTTTCTATTTGATTCTGTTGGCCGTGTCCTTTTTGCTTGGATGTTTCTGCTACCTCATACCTTGCTCCTACATGAAACTTGGGTACTTGCAATGTTTTAGCATCTCCTTAAGACCAATATTCGTTGAAATTGTATGGATCAAGGCATTAAACACCCTTCGCCATGAACTCTACAATAACTGATCTTCCAACAGCTCAGCCCAAGGGCCCTGGTGCGTCCCCTGGCAGACCATCTTCTGGAGCCTCGTTCCTTTGGCTTTTGACAATGGGGTCGATGTCTTGGCCAGGAGGACTTATCTATGGCATTCCAAGCAGGTATCGCACATTTGTTCGCCTATCTTGTGTGATGCAGACATTGTATTAGTTGCGATCAGTCTTCCGGTTATCATAGACTATGAGAGGCAGTGACTGCTTGAAGCGATTTGGGTAACTCTGAACGTTCAGATCAGTGTTTTGCAGGAGGTTGATTCCGTTGGCGTCTTAGTTGACGATCACGGGCATGGGCTGAAGGGGGTGCAAGGCTCGGAGAAAATGACTTGGTAAAACTTCTTGCCATGGGCGATCAACCATGGGGGTGATACTCCTCTTCCTAGGCTAACAACGAAAGGATTTTGATCTTTGCGGGGACATATCATTGTCGCTTTCTTTCTATATATTGTGATGCTGATTGGTGTTTCGGAGGTGATATACCGAACGAGGAAGCTGGCGTCAAGTCCCGAGGTGAATATTCGTTCTGTTTCCAGATAGCAATATAGCAATCTGGTCTCTTTCAACTACGTATCTGCCATATCATTAGCTATGATTGCGTGGGTCGTACTTGGGACTTTTGTTTGCAGAAGGCTGAAGATGAGGTTTAGGAATAGCGAGATCGCCTTCAAGATACCTTTCGGGAATCAGGCTCTTGATGAAAGACCATTGTCTAAATTAGGAATGGCTCGAAAACAGCGCTCGGAAGAGTTACCAAACGGGCCCTCAGACAACTACAGCTGTTTCCTACTCGGTACATTATAACCCTCCCTCTATCATGCCAACGTAACCAAACCCTACTTTGGTTCCATAACCTTCTCTAAGCGGTACCTAACTTTTCTTAGGGCAGACTCGCTCCCAGTATGATCCATTCTAATACCAGGCCCGGCACTCGCATCCCGCGGGAGCAGCGATATCTGGGGCCCACTGAGTCCCCTTGGGTGCCCCTGCGTTCCTTCAAACTTTGCAATATCAGAGATGTAGAAAAGAAACGCGCAAAGCTGGGAATCAGTGGTGCTGCTAGGCAGCAATGGGCGAAGAAGAAACCATGAGATTCTCAAAGCCGTTTGTACATATCCGCATTCGGCTGTTCGTGTAAACTTAGTAGAACACAAGAGACATATCAGACACTCTTTATTTATATCAAATCCCCGACGCCTCAAAATTGTATCCCATGTAAGTAAAACTACAAGGAGAATACCCCTATGTAGCTCTATCTACCGTCTCTCTACCAATATGACATGCATGGCCATATAGGCCAAGATAATAAAGCCTGCCGCGAACATTGCTAAATTCGTGACATCGGGCCACAGCGCTTGGGTATTGAATCCAAACGAGCTCAGGATCGTGGCACCCGGAACATCAATTGTAAGACCGAGCTTCTTGTCCTTTAATGAGAGGTATGTGACTTCGTTGACAATCAACGACTCAAAGCCATAGTGGAAGATAGATATATCCTGTAGCCACAAGGCAGACTTAGGAATAGCATCGTGGTTGAGCAGCAGACCGGCGAAGAGTAAGCTGAAGAGCATTACCAAAGAGCCAACCAGACTTGCGACACCATTGTCTTTACAGACGATACCGATGAAGAGGCAGATACCAGCCGCAGCCAAGTTGAAGAGGACAAGAATGAGGATAAATCTGAGGAAGTGTGGCCAGTCTGGTACCAGGCCGGTCATTGGGTAGATGATTGAGCCCATGATTATTGGGGGAATAATGCGGAGCGGGACGACATCGAAGAGTACTTTGGCTGCGAAGTATGTGACTGGCGAGTAGTATCCATTTGCACGCTCTCTCACGAATAGCGTTCGCTCAGTAGCGAAGACTGTCAAGCTAGACAGTGTACTGAAGCCGAAGAGAGCCAGGATGAAGAAAAAGAGTCCGAGTCTGTTCTGAAAACCTGGAATGTCGTCCGTAAGACCGTAGAACAGGAAGCCAGAGAGGACTGCCAACAGAATGGAAATAGCGTAATGAGTGAGCATTAGCATTGGATTTCGGTATAGATTTTTCCAGGTTCGTTGGGACAAGATCATGAACTGTCGTAGGTACCCAATCCTGGCATACCCTCTGCCCATCGCCCCACCGTTTGCTGAGCCGTTTCCTTGGGAATGGCCGTTGGCAATTCCGTTCGCGGATTGGGCACTATCTATGGCCGCGTGTATATCATCATGGATGTTGCCGGCAATCTCGGAATTTTGATAGGCTGCAACGAGGATATCAAGATCACTCGGCCCCGAGGCTGCTGGGGGTAGGTCATCTGGGTCTTCGGTGGTGTGTTGGTGAATCTGGCCAGCCTGCTGCTTCTGTAGACGAAGCCACTGCTGCGAGCCTGTCGCATTTGGATCCAATGGGGCTTCATCGTGTTGTGAAGTCGGTGTCTCGAAACCATGTCTCTTGCGTGTGAAAAGCTCTCTTTCTTGCTTGGCTTTAACAGAAACTCGACGGTTGCCCTTTGGTCTTAACAACGAGTCACCGCCCGGGCTTCCGAACCTTGACTCCTCGATGCTTCCTCCGCCAATACTAGCGATAGATTTGACTGCTCTGGTGCTGCTCGGGCCAGCGCTCCCGTTAGGGGTTTCGAAGTCGGCAATACTTTCATCGAGAGGAGTGCGAGGACCACCAACGTGCATGGTCAAATCGACCAGATAGTCCGCAATATTGAAACCTGGAGGGCAGGAGTACCCGATATGGTCGAAGAAATCTTGGCAATGGGCAAAATCGCCCGAGTAGACGGTCTTTCCCTTGGCCAGGAGCAGCAGTCTGTCGAACAATGCTACAATATTGGATCTCGGCTGATGGATGGTGAAGATGACGGTTCGCTTGTAGGTCTTTGCAAGAGTGACTAAGCACTCGATGACGTTGAAAGCATTGTATGCATCCAGTCCACTAGTTGGCTCATCGAGGAACAGTATGCTTGGACTCGTGACAAGCTCGCAAGCAATCCCGACTCTTCTCTTCTCGCCACCAGAAATTCCACGCCCTTTTCCATCCTCGGAGCCGATCAAAGAATCTCTGATGGCGAAGATTCCTAGTTGTTTCTCAACTTCGTATACCCGTTGCTCCTTTGCGGATTTTCCCATATCTCGTGGAAGTCTGAGAAGTGCACTGGTCATGATCGTTTCGTGGACCGTAAGGGTTGGTAGCATAGTGTCTTCCTGGTCCACAAATCCTACAACGTTTTTGTAGTCATTATCGTTGACCTTCTCCCCATTGACGTAGAAATCGCCCGAAACTACTCCCCGCTTATTCTTCCGGGCCAAGATATCGAGGAAGGTCGTTTTTCCGGCGCCGGAAGCACCCATTATAGCCATTATTTCTCCTGGGTGGGCGACTCCTTGGATTCCAGAGAGGATTTGCTTTCCATTCATATTGTACGAGACATTTTCAAAGTACAAAGAGGCGGGCTTGTGGTCTGTCATCAACTTGGTGCTCTCGTCATCGGAGTCGTCCAGATGAACCGGCCCATATTTGAACTGTCTCCGTGAAAGGTACCAGACCGTCAGGATAATCCCAACCACGAACAAGGCACATCCAGCAATGACTCCTGCAATTAAAGGAGTATTGATCTTTTTCACGGGCCGTTCAAATCCAGGCACGTCCGACACGTACAGACATTCCCCAGCCTTACAGTTCAACTCGATACTGTCATCTCCAAACATCGTCTGGATTAGTTCGTCCATGGCAGGTTCTTTAAACCTGCAGTTGTTGGTCCCGCCGTGTTCTTGCTTACAGCTAAAAGATGCAGGCCCTTCGATAGACTCGTCTAGGAATTCGGTGATGTCGACAGAGCCGTTCTCCCCGCACAGCATTCGGCCCGGGATACATTTGCAATCGATGTGGTCGCATTTGTAGTTGGTCGCGTTCTGATCGTAGGTATTATCGGCGGTCGACGTGCAGGTATTCAACGAGCAATAGAAAGATTCCTTGTGTTCAACCCAGACTGATGACAGATTAGCACTTTTCAACTGCAAGAACATGCCATAACTTACACTGAAAGTCGCAAGTCGAGGCATTGGCGTTGCAGGTGAAAGTGACTTGAGGCCTTCTCCCTTCCAAAATCTGCACAATTTTCTTGTTTGTAACATCGCATTGCTGGTAGTTTTCGTGTACCACCTCTCCGTTCTGATAGCAGACCCCACCCTCGTTCGTTGGCATCAAGGCATTACAAGCCTTGTTTTCTGTGCAAACGTTGCAGTTGATGCCAGTCCATCCCTCTTTGCATTCGCAGTAGTCGCTCTGTCGCATAGGTCGATCCTCCCCGTCTGCCAAAGCTCCGCATACTGGTGAGAAGCAATCGTCGCCTCCGAATCCAGGCGGGCAGGAACACTTGCCATTAAACTGATTGCACTCGGAGTACTGACCGCAGGTAAAGGCCGGTAGAAGACAGTTGAAGCTATCTTTGGTCAGTGACTATGCGCATCTACGCGTGGGATGGGTGGGCACCGTACCATGGGGGGCAATCCGCCGGGCGATCGCCCATCAGAGCCAGCTGTGCGCGCATCATATCTATGGACGAGTAATTTCCAGCAGCAGCGACCGTCCATGCCAGCGAGAGCGCCCCGAAGGCCACCCTATCCAGGACTCCCCGCATCGTCAATAGAAGTCTGGATTTGTTGGTATGATACCGTGAAGCTTAACTCAAGCTCTGTCTAGTCAGTCCATGGAATAGAGACTCGAGCGCTGCAGTTCGGTCTGATCCAAGGGTTCCGGCCGCGGCTCTGGCTCTATGGTGGACAACAGGCGAGGCTTGAAATCGGGTGGAGGCGATTTGATCTTTGATGTGGATATTGACGTCGGTGAGGTTGCGAGACGGACCGCGTTTGGCGGGCGGGTCAAGCCGGGCACAGTCTGTCTCATGGCTTGGCCCGCCTGACGCGAAGTAGGATTACCCTTAAGTTCTGTATAGTATAGTTTTAGCCCACGTGATACCGCGTCGACTCCGGGATATCGGCCTCCATAAAGCTGACCTACTGGGTAAGGTTTGAAGAAGATGATGGGAGCATTTTGCATTGGAAGTTTTCGAGATGTTCAAGAAAAAAAAAAAAGGTGCTTTCCAGTCAGTAATATTCCTAGGCTTGGGCTACTGTCAGGTGGGAGGGAGCTAGAAGCCGGGCCTAGCGTGAAGTGCGAGCTGTTGTTACCCCGCGCTCGAGCTCGGAGATACTGTTTGCCCACCTACCTACCTACAGGTACGTGCCTAGGTCCCTAACTGTCTATCCGTCCGCAATGGCAGCATCAGAGAGACGACCAATATCTACACAGAAACCTTCCACTTTCAGTCTTGCCTACGTCTACGTGGCAAAAGTAAAGAAACAACATGGTCAAGCTCGAGCCTTTCGAGGTTGAGCAGGTATTTATCTATTATCCAATACAACCTCTAATCATACACATCTTTGTTATCATGCTGACAACCCCCAGTGGATGGACAAATACGAAACAACACCTGGAGTCTTGAATATTGCTGAGACATGTGCCGCCAGTATCTCAATTGACACTCTTGTGTCCTTGTGCGAAGACCCTAATATCCCACATCCACTCAACACTTCAACAAAGCTCAAATATGGCTCCATTCGAGGCTCACAGGCGCTGCGAGAACGGCTTGCTTCTCTGTACTCCGTACGAGTCTCGACTCCACTTCCAGCCGAAAATATCCTCATCACCCCCGGTGCTATTTCTGCCAATTTCCTCCTTCTATACACGCTGCTTGGACCTGGAGACCATGTCATCTGCGAGCACCCTACATACCAACAGCTTTACGATGTACCCAGGAGCCTAGGTGCAGAGGTCTCGCTATGGAAGCTTCGACGGGGACAGAAGTTCATACCAGATTTGGAAGACTTGAAGGAGTTAGTGAGGGACAACACCAAAATGATTATCATAAATAATCCCAACAACCCAACCGGATCAACGACCCCCAAATCTGTTTTGCAAGGCCTTGTGGATTTTGCTAAGGAGCGGGATATCATGATCCTGTGTGATGAAGTCTACCGACCTCTGTTTCACAGCATATCTCCTGCAGATCCAGATTTCCCTCCGTCCATTGTGTCTTTGGGGTATGCCAAGGCTATCAGCACGGGCTCAATGTCAAAAGCTTACAGTTTGGCTGGCATACGACTGGGCTGGATGGCATGTCGAGACCGATCGATAGTCGAGGCCATTGCTTCTGCTAGAGACTACACCACCATATCCGTCTCGCAGCTCGACGATCAAGTCGCCACATACGCCCTCTCCCAATCTGTCCTACACGCTCTACTAGGGCGTAATCTTAAGCTTGCTAAGACGAACGTTGCCATGCTGGAGAAGTTCATTGATCGCTGGAGTGACGTCTGCTCTTGGGTAAGACCAACCAGTGGAACTACAGCTCTTGTCAAATTCGAGAAGGATGGTAAACCTGTTGAAGACGTGCAGTTCTGCCTTGACGTTCTGGAGAGCACCAAGGTCATGTTCCTGCCAGCTTCAAAGTGCTTTGGTGCGGAATTCAAAGGCTACGTACGCATCGGATTTGTGTGCGAGACTGCGGTTCTGGAGGAAGCGTTGAAGCAACTCACGCTTTATGTTCGCAAGAATTTGCTGTAAATGCAAGAATCTCGCTCTGTATTTTGGCTTGCATTGCTTCTTTGATTTCGTCCTCTGATGTCTGATGCTGATCACGATACATACACCGAATTGGACATCCTGACAGAGTGGTGTTCTTGGATCTCTGCTCTGGTCACCCTCAAACCTGGCACTCTATAACCGGTCCAGCCCCTATCCAGCCCTCTATCCAGCCATACCGACACCAGTGCCTCCAGTCAATCGTCTACCAAAGACACATCCACAAACCTTCCATCCCCTCAGGCCACTCCCAATCCCAGAATTCGCAACCAGAAAGCCAGATATGCAGTACTCTCTCCCTCAGCACCAAGCCACTCACACAAACTCTCCATTTCAACCTTGAATAACCCGAGCTCCACCCCCCGCCTCCCTCTCCCTTGCAACTCTCCGTCTCTCCAACCTCTCCTTCAAAAACCGAATTCTCCGCGCAACTCTCTCCGTCGTGTTCTCCCCCTTCCGAATCCCCATCTCCCTATCTAGACGCTGCAGCACCACATCCAGAGTAAACGTGTGCGTACTGTACTTCACCCCTGCTGAACCTCTGCCAACGTTGGTCTCGGTGTTTTTGACCAGTCGCTGAGAGTTAAGCGCAACGTCGTGGGCGCTCAGCGCAGCTAAGACGATGGCAGCGATGAGCAGGGCGTGGAGGATGATGATGATTATTATGGGCCCGGCGTGATTGTAAGTCGGGCGATGTGCCGGTGTGGTTGTGGGCTTGGGCTTGAGCTTGAGCTTGCGATCGGTGAGTTTGGGAGTGGTTGCCATCGTGGGTGGTAAGTGTGGTGGTGGTATGAGGGAGACGTTTCGGTCTGAGCTGTATTGTATTTGTGTGGTGCTGTGTTGTGTCGACGGTTAGAGGGGGAAAAGAGGAAAGTAGCGACAGATCAAAGATTGGAGGATTCATGAATGTATTTCGTTCGGCTTGGGGAGAGGTTGAGCGTGAGGCTGAGCGTAAATTTTAGAGGGGAGTCGAGGGAATGATTCACTTCCCGTCTTGGGAGCTGGCTCAAAGAGGCCTCTCTTTGTTGTGCTGGAATTCTCTCTTGCTCGGTTCTTCTATCCAGCGCGGGAGCCTTTACAAACGCCTCGTAACCTGTTACGTATAATCTTAGAAAGAGGGTGTTTATCGACGGACGTAAACAGTGGGCAAGACCTTAGCTAGCTAGCTAGGCCTGGCCTGGCCTCTCTAAAGCAACCCCATCTTGAAAACTTGAAAACTACACATGCTAAAACATAATGTGTATATTTTTTTGGGGGGGATTGGGGGAGGGGGGGGGGGGGTTAGGGT